CTCCCCACCTGGAATTTGTAAACACCTTTTTTTGTTAATGGAGGCTGGAATATTTAAAACGGGCATCAGATCAATTCTTTACCGAATAAGTGGATGGGGTTTATCGTCAGATTCTTTGATGCTGAAACAATGTTATTGAGTTAATCTTCAAGTGGATGGAGCATTTTTAAGTTTGCGATGAGTGGAGGTAAATTCTGCGTTTTTTCATTACGCTATTATCTGACAAAGAATTTAAAGTGTGAGGAATTGTGTGTTGATGGCTGTGGAGGTGGTTTGGTGGTGGCGTGGCAGTGATGGTGTGATTGGGGTCTGGTGGTATTGGTGTGGTAGTGGCGGTGGTAGTGATGGTGATGGTTGTAGCAGTGGAAGGTGTGATGGTAGAGACAGTGGTAATGGTGGGGGTAGAAATTGTGTGTTTGAAGGACAGAAGGAAGGGGAATGAAGCGAGAGGAAAGAAGTGACGAACAGGTGAGGTAGCGAAAAGAGAAGGATGTGAGAGATGTAAAAAAAAGGAAAGGCATGTAAGAGACATAACGAAAGAGGGAGGACAAGACGAAGTACAAAATAACAAAATGATACACAAGAACCATATAGTTTATCCCTCAGTGGTACAGTAAGATCGCAACTCCACTTGTCAGAAGTCAAGAGTAACAGGTGAAAAATAATTCTATTAATAGTAATGTTTCTAATATTAGTAATTTCAGTAATAAACCATTATTAATATAGCCTGTTCTCGTGGTAGACATGCGTACTAACTGCGCAGATTTACTTAGGAGATCCGCAGGAATTTAAACAAAGCCTAACCTAACCTAATATATCCTATTCTAACCTAATATATATTCTATTCTAACCTAATATAACCTACTGTACCCTAACCTTACCTAATTTATGCAAGAGTTTGTTCTTTTAGTAGTTTTTGTGGAGGACAGCACCTAATATCTACGCAGGTATTTATACCCACGTTTTGAATGCTTTAATCTACTGTGTGAAAGTTTATTTTCCGTCAATATATATTGACTTAAATATTGGTTGATATTAACAATACCAGACCCAATTTTTAACAAAATTGGTGTTGTGTATGTGCTCAACAGGTGGCTTAAGAATGGTATGAATGAAACGATTTCCACTTTTCACAGTGTGAAAGCAACCCCATGACGAATCTTCTAATATAATAATGTAACTCGGAATTATTTTCCCTTACAAAACTGTAAAATATTATGCACTGATGTCTGCAAAATTATATATGTATATATATATAATGCGGATTTTTTTTACTTCAATATGAGAATCACACAAAAATACATTAAAGTAAAATTATAAATAATAAAATATTGATAATAAAATGTACCTCAAAGTAATCAATGACTCTTAAGAGGCGTAATATTCAATATAGTTTCTCACCTTCAGTTCCTGGGAGATACTCTCTCATTTTCATTCTTATTAGTTAATGGGTCCTACAGTACAGCGGTCTGCGTGTTCGACTCACAATCGAAGAGCCAGGGTTCAATCAGAAATCATTGGACACGTTGACAATTGAGAGGCGGGGCCAAAGAGCCGAAGCTCAACCCCCGCAAACACAACTAGGTGAATACGTCCTCTTTCAAATATTAATCCGAGAATGGTGGCAATTAGCCCAGCTTGGGTAGACGAGGAACGACTTTCAATCTGTGATTTCCACTCATTTTCTCTTTGATAGGCAATGATGCCAATCAGAGTGCAGACGAACGCATCCCTGATCTCACCGAGAGCAACCGAACCTTCGCTGTATATTTAATCCTATTGATTACCAGCCTCAGTTATCTATAGATTACCTGTAGACGATTTCGGTCAATTTTATATTATTGCAGTCTAGGTCTGATTTGCCTAATAGGCGGAGGGATTTTCGTTATTTTTTAAAGTTTTTTTAAAATTGATTTATTTGAATTAATATTATTATATCATTAAGAACATGAAATACTGACCTAGTTATGTTATTTTAGGTAAAGTTAGGTTAGAATAGGTTGAGTTTGGTCATATTTCTACGTTAGTTTTAACTCAAATTAAACTAAAATGAAATCATATATAATATAATGGAAAGATTTTTTATTCCAAAAGAAAAAATATTGAAAAATATATTTCAGGAAACTCTGCTTGTTAGGCAAATCGGGCCTTGCATACTAAGCCAAGTAGTGCATTCTGGATATTAGGTACAATATATGTGTATACGACTGTGCAAGATGTCTCTAGAGACTGAAGACGAAGCAGGAGATAAGTGTACCGACGGGAGGAAGGACAGAAGGAAGTGTATGGATACACACAGGTGTGACTGAGAGGTATAGAATTACACATGTTAAGTGTAGCGTGTCCGATTTCTTCCAGGACAGAGAAGACCCTTCTCCGTCCTGTGGGAGGGGGAAGGGATGGAGGTGGGAGGGAGAGACGGACGATGGGAGAAAGGGTTGATGGAAAAGTTGAAGATAAGTGAAACATGAACTAAATAAAGATTATCTCTGAAATTAAATAAAACAAAATAATGTTGATAACGCCATGTTCCCAAAATAAAACAAAAACTATTCCCTATCTGATTTACAGCCAAAGGTAAAGTGGACATTTGCCTTAAATCATGGGGCAAGTCCTTACCTTAATTGTCATTATAAGACTTTCTGGTCGTTATGTGTCCAAAGGTAATGTCTTCCGTGGACACGTTATATACAATGTGGGGGAGGGGAGAGGGAAGGAAGGGGCCAGCAGTGGAGGGAAGAGGTGGAACAATGGTGGGGGGATTAGAGAGGGGAGGAGAACAGGGTAGAAAAGAAGAGAAAAATAAGAACCCTCTCAATAGACATCGATACATGTTGATGTGAAGAACACGTTCGCAGGACCATAGCAAGAGAGCAAGTTTAGGTTACCCACCAAATACACGCAAACACACATCGAGTCAGCAAGGCGGTCAGCCCGCCTGCTGACATAACTATACCCCACATTTCTATATATTTTACTTCACCTGCACCTGTCCATCTTTGTTACTCCCCTCCCCCCTCCTTCCCCACCAAAATGATGACTGATTAGAGAGGTGTTAAAACAAAGAGATAATGTGATAAATAGCAAAAGAGAGAGAGAATGAAAACCAAACAACCCAACAACAATCAACACTAACGAACAAACAACGGTAGAGATCTCCATATGCTCTTGTTATTATCATCATTTACAAATATATTAAAAAATTCGAGAGAAGTTCACAGTATTATTAAATTAAACTCAAACAAGGCTCCATAGGCCATGTAAATACATATTGCCACATATTGCGCTCTCTTTGTTGAATTTATAAAGGAAAATTTGCTGTTATTTTTCAAGTTTATTATGCAATTGGCTGATGTGGTGTGATATTGCTACACACGGCGGATACTGCCGTGTGTGTGTACACGCTCACAGGTGTACATGTGTCCTCTGGTACCTGTACACGCTCACAGGTGTATATGTGTCCTCAGGTGCCTGCACACGCTCACAGGTGTACATGTGTCCTCAAGTGCCTGTACACGCTCACAGGTGTACATGTGTCCTCAGGTGCCTGCACATGCTCACAGATGTGTGTACGTGTCCTCGGGAGTGTATGAACACTGGGATATTATGTACGTACGTGTACATAATTATGTACGTCTACGTGATATTATGTACTTGTACGTGATATTATGTACGTGTTGTGGGCATGCACGCACGCACAACCCCCCCCCCCTCCCCCAAAGAAATAAATCCAATATAACATACATAAAACTAACAGAGCAATAATACTAAAAATAACTTTAACTTAATTAAGTTGATATATAAACAAATAAAACAATTTATAAACAAAGTTAGAAATAAGTTCAATAAAAATACAATAAAATACAATCATAGTGAGGTACTATGCGCAGAATATTGTAGCTTTATTAGTGTATTAGTCAAATACAACTTGTTCAGGTTTCACTGCCCCTCTCGTTCGTTGCAATAGTTTAATTCTCGTAAAACAACGATGTCGTTAGCTGAGTAGCACCCAGGGACAATGAGAAGATGTGTGGGTGTAGGGCTAGGGACGGGTGAAGGATGGGGCTAGGGACGGGTGAAGGATGGGGCTAGGGACGGGTGAAGGATGGGGCTAGGGACGGGTGAAGGATGGGGTTAGGGACGGGTGAATGATGGGGGCTAGGGACGAATGTGAGGTCGGAATAGGGAAGTGACCCTTTCCTGATAGAAAATAGAGAGGTACAAGTAAAGGAAAGTTTAGATATGGGAAATAAAGAACATGTTGTGATAGCAGGCGGACTGTCCCCCTTGCTGACACGATATGTGTGTTTGGTAGCTAACCTAAGCTTGCTCTCGCTTGTTAGGGAGCTGTGTGTAAGGTTCTTCATATGTATTTCAGCACATATGGAAGTCGATAGATAAATACTGTGAAGCATTCACATATACACACTCAGATGCTTGTGTACATTATGATGTTCTGTTTGAAAGTCTTAATAATAATAAAAATAATAGTAATATTAATTATAATTATTATTATTATTATTGAAATTTGAACTTCATTATTGTTAGTATTATTATTTTAGGGAAACGTGGATTCTGGTCAGTATTCCATCATAGAATTATATATTGTGTGGTGGTCACCGTGGGTGGGTCACCCTGGGTGGGTCTCCCTGGGTGGGTCTCCCTGGGTGGGTCACCCTAGGTGGGTCACCCTGGGTGGGTAAAGAGACCAAACAGCCATTACCCCAGACACTAGGAACCAGCCAGTGGGAGGACAGGACAGTGAAGGAGCATTAAGTAGGACGTCTTCAGTGGGCATCATCTAACCGATCCACATTTTATATATCTGTTGTGTGGAGTTAGTGGCGGGTGTATCGCTCGTTACGCCCACTCCAGCTACACCTTAACTACACCTTTACGCCCAAGCTGGCACCCTCAGCAGGTGCACTTGGCCCGCCTCTGATAATTTCACTCGCTTACGTTCTCGTAGAGAACGTTGTAAAGTCTGCTTATAGAGCGCTCTAGCTGAGGTCCCGGCTGAAGTTGCTGGTGCCGCTGCTGTTGTTGACGCTGTTATGGCTGTTGTTGACGCTGTTATGCCTGTTGTTGACGCTGTTATGCCTGTTGTGTCTGTTGTTGACGCTGTTATGGTTGTTGTTGACGCTGTTATGGCTGTTGTTGACGCTGTTATGCCTGTTGTTGACGCTGTTATGCCTGTTGTTGACGCTGTTACGGTTGTTCTTGACGCCGTTAGTGTTGCCATTATGGCCGTTGCTGCTGTTCTCTGTTGTTGCTGTTGTGTTCTCTGCTGTGAGTGTTGGTTTCAATGTTGTCACTCCTGTCTTTGCTGTTTAAGCTGTGTTCGCTTATATTGACATTACTGTTGCCACTGCTGCACCTGCTGTTGCCTCTGCAACGGGTGCTATTCAGCTGAGGTTAGTGGTTGATGTTGGAGATGATGAGTTGGTAATGCTGGTGTTCTCTAGTTGATGGAGAGGTGTTGGTGATGGTGGTGTTGGAGATGACTAAGCCCTCGAGATGGTACAACTTGTTCAATCTCTGCTGTTCTCAGTAATTGTACCATTGTCTTTTCTTATTCTGCATCTTTTTGTTCCTCAGCCTCTTTATCTTTCTACATTTGTTGTCTTCCCTTTTCCTTACCGAGACGCGAGATTTATATCTCTTCTGTAGTTAACAGAGTTCAAACGACCATAATTTGTCCAAGGAAGAGAAACTGTCAACCCAAAAGCTAGCCTATAAAACACACACACACACACACACACACACACACACACACACACACACACACACACACACACACACACACACACACACACACACACACACACACACACACACACACACACACACACACACACACGCACACAACACCACTCTGTTCCTAAGTTATGTGAACGACCTTCCCGAGGGAGTCAGCTTGTACTGTCAATGTTTGCAGATGACGCAAAGCTAATGAGGAATATGAGAACAAAGGAGAACTGCAGGAAGTTACAAGAAGACCTTGACAAACACCAAGAGTGGGCAAACAAATGGTTGCTAGAATTCAATCTCAACAAGTGTAAGAAGATGAGAAAGGAGACCATCTATGCGTAAGTTGAAGGTAACAATATGATTTGCAATACAAAAGTATTTTGTTTAGAAAAAGATTCAGTTACGCCCATCAGACGCTCATTCGTACTTACGAAATTAAACTTTTAAGAAAATTTGAGAGAACTGGATCTCATCATATTCAAGGAAAGAAGGAATAGCGCAGACATGATAACGACATAGTAGACTCTAAGGGTAATTGACTATGGAAACTGGAGACACAAATGAGTTACAGAAATCTCCGAGGCAACTTTTTCATTGTCTGGATCGAACATAATGGAATAAATTAGTTGAAGTTGTCGAACCATATTCAGGACAGAGTTTTATATGTAAATATGTTAAGAATAACGAGGAAAAAGAGTCAGTGCTATTAACTACTGATGGTCGATGGTCCAATTTACCCCCTCCCACTCTACCCTTTTCCACATTACCTCTACACCCCCTTCCACATTCCCTCCACTCATTATTATGTGGTTTGATAGCCAAAGAAGACCCGGTGATGGAGGGAAGCAGCTGTGTACCCCATGCTGGCTCCAGCTTTGATTATCCGGACACCCATTTTTTCTTCTTTTGTTTTCTTAACCGAACAACCCATGCAGTTGTGTGACAAGGGACCGGTGTGATAATCTTTACCGGCGTCTTAAAAGAATACCTTTATTCGAATTTTATATCCACTCGTGCGGTTATCGACTGCTGTACTCTCCGGCACTCTTCGCATCGTTAGAAATCCGGTTAAGTGGTGACGATCCGTATTAGCGAATAGGTAGGGGTGAGCTATATAGTGGTGATGGGGGTTAGAAGGAGGGGAATTTCAGGGGTTTAAAATCGGGAAGAGGGGAGATGAGAAGTGAATAAGAGGTGATTAGGGAGGTGCGATAAAGTAAGAGTAAGGGATCGTGAGAGGTGGAAGTGAGGGGGAGGAGGGGGTGAGAGAGAGGGAGGGAGGATGGGGGGGGGTTGGAGGTGGCCAGAGACGATGCATGTTTATTATAGAGCGATAGTCGAATATCTATTTGCATAAGGTCACCAGCTTGCCATCTCGACGTTCATTTTTCCTTCCTTCCTTCGTCTTCCACAATACAATGTCGCAATCTTTCAACACACATCGGTACCCAAGCTGAACGATCATTTCCGACGATGATGAAGCTCCACCCTTCCCCCTAACGCGAATCACCTTCCACAAACCAACAAACACCTAAAACGCTCGCTCGCAAAAATAAAACATCTCGCCAGATGCGTCGATGACGACGCATCTGGCGTCGTCGTCACCACAAACGTGTTCCGTATAAGAATGATAAAAGCATGTTTACTGGCATTGACAAGTTTTGCGTTCCCGATGGGTCAGTTTTTTGTTCGGACCATAAAACTTCTTCTGGACTGCCATTAATATTTGATTCTTCTCCTATGAACGTCAGATTGTCTCCTCGAGTGAATGAAATCACTTACTTTATTAGTCGGGCTTTGCCGGTCGCTCTGGCTGTTAAATGATAATGAGTTGGGGAGGCCGGTAGATCCAACGAGCAGCCCGGGGCCAAAACCGGGGTGATTGGTCGATGTGGAGAGGATGGTTGGTTTGTGATTGGGTGGCTGGCGGCCGTGGGTGGTTGGTTACCGGGGTGACTAGTCCTAGCGATTGGTGCTGGTTGTGGGTGGTAGTTTATGAATAGTGCAAAGGTTGGTTGCATGTGGTAATAGAGAGCAGAAAAGTGATTAGAGGCGATGGTTAGTGATGTTAGGACAATTAATGATCGTTGGCACGGTTTGCGGTATCGAAATATATATATATATATATATATATATATATATATATATATATATATATATATATATATATATATATATATATATATATATATATATATATATATACTGTATAGCATGTTATTGTCTTCATAAACTACGTATTTTCACCAGATATTGACATTTTAGGTCTATTTATATTTCATTCTCGTTTAAAGGTCCATAAATATTTTTAATTTGCAATATGAATAGAGCTTTTAAATTGATGTTATTGTGGTGTTTGCATTGCCTTGTTACGAGCGGGTTCCTTGTTATCAATGTTGATGGGTAGTTTGGTGTAAATTGGTAGTTAACGTTGTTGATATTATAAATACCGCTCGTTTGTTTATTAGTAAATAAATAGGCCGGATTTGTTCTGATGCTTTGTGTATTGCGAGGACTGTAACATTGGTTTATACTGTACCGGACCCATCTGCTGTGTTGGGTTATACTGTACCTGACCCATCTGCTGTGTTGGTTTATACTGTACTGGACCCATCTGCTGTGTTGGGTTATACTGTACTGGACCCATCTGCTGTGTAGGGTTATACTGTACTGGACCCATCTGCTGTGTTGGGTTATACTGTACCTGACCCATCTGCTGTGTTGGTTTATACTGTACTGGACCCATCTGCTGTGTTGGGTTATACTGTACTGGACCCATCTGCTGTGTTGGGTTATACTGTACTGGACCCTTCTGCTGTGTTGGGTTATACTGTACTGGACCCTTCTGCTGTGTTGGGTTATACTGTACTGGACCCATCTGCTGTGTTGGTTTATACTGTACTGGACCCATCTGCTGTGTTGGTTTATACTGTACTGGACCCATCTGCTGTGTTGGTTTATACTGTACCGGACCCATCTGCTGTGTTGGCTTATACTGTACCGGACCCATGACCTAACTCCCAGGTAATTTTCTCTAGTCGTTGTAAGGAGATAATTTCTCATTCAGTGTGTACCGTCATTCTGGTCTCCTGGCACCTCTCCCCATTTACATCACCTTACACTTACAAGTGTTGAACTCTAATAGAACCAGGCGATCTAAAGGTCTAAAAAAAAAACTCTCTCGCTCTCAAACAAAAACAAATTCAACATAATATGGGTGATTATAACAAGTTGAACAAATACTTCAAGTTTGGTTACTGTTCCTTTGTCGTTTTATGGAGCTCAGGATACATACAAAAGATGCATAGTTACCTTGAGGTGCTTCCGGGGCTTAGCGTCCCCGCGGTCCGGTCATCGACCAGGCCTCCTAAATATTGTAGTTTTAGTTATATAAGTTTGTCGCAGCTTTAGTGGTAAAATAACACGACATTGTCAATTTGATCATAGCGACTCGTATTGAGGACACATTAGATGTGGCTATGAATTATTTGGGGATTTTATAGATGATGTTAATTCTAAAAATATTATCTTTTCAAACCTACCATGACTCAGGAGATTGCTGCATTCCTCACTAGTTTCTGAGAAAGTTAATATATATCTCTTAACTAGTTACTTTGGTAATTAGGCAATTAACTGCATTCCTCACCTGTTATTGCAGTAGTATATTACTTAACACGTTAATTGGGTAACCTATTGCAGTAGCGCCCACACTACTTATTTAATAGCTAACTTTCTCAGTGGGTTCGTAATACCCGAGATCTTCCGTTGCTAGTTACTCTGATTAACCTCGTTCTCGCTAGTTGCTGTGATTAAGTTCTTTCAGGCTAGTTACCACGATAACAAACGTCTTTCACAACTAGTTGCTTGCGTAATTAAGCACTTCATTCACTAGTTCCATGACAACACCCTCATTCCTCACCGCCTCGAGCTACTCACTATTGCAAGACTTCTCGATAAATGTTGGGAGCGATCGCCATCCACGGCTAGAGCCGTGATAACCGCACCTGCAAGATAACCGCATCTGCAAGATAACCGCATCGCCAGATAACCTCACAGCCATGTAACTGCACCGCCAGCCACCAAACTACTACAACGCCCTGCAATATAACCACTTACATCTCTTAATCCTTACAACCAAGACGTCACATGTTTCCTTCACGGTTCTGAAGAATTTACGAAAGAGACATTCTGACGTCGGATGTCGGGAGTCGGCCCCTAAGAACGGCTCGAGATTAAGATCGATGTAATTTACAGAGATGCTGCCTTGTCTCATAATGGGATTCTTGCGCCGACTGTGAAGTCAACATTAAATGGTGACTGAGCCCGAGATTGGGCAGGGTCAGCAATGTGCTGACAGGTGTCAGCGGGCGAGGAGACATCTCCTTTACGAGAGAGTGAATCAATTCTAGTGCTCAGTGATGAAGCTGACTCATTGGGGGTGATGTTTCTCTCCTCGATGACAATGGAGATCCACATGTTGAGCCCAGCAAGCAAGGCGACCAAATCACTTACACATTTTCCATTCAACGAAATAACAACGAAGAGAACTCTGAGAAACGACTCGTTTCTTGTTGGATTGATCAATATATCAGGGCCTTTGGTATCTGAGAGATTTTGGCAGCCTTAATGTTTTGCATAAGGACAATGTTCTCAAGGTTCCCCACGCGGTCTACCTTCGTGGCCATCCAGAAGCAGGAAACCACAACACAAGGCGCTCAGCCATTAAGAGCCTCACGCAGGCTGTGTCATCCTCAAGAACATGGCCATCAGCGTGTATTCATTTCTCGACTGATTCACATTCAGGAACAGGCTCTCTCAACACCCAAACGTGAAATAAAGTCAACTTCCTATATGGAGATTCTACTACACAGATGACATCTGGTTCACCCCTGTAACTGACATGACTGTAATTGAACACTAAAGTTTATACTTACTGGAATCTGGAAGCAACTGCCTTCATTAAAATACGCCGCACAACAAAGTGAAGAGCTTGTTGGTGCATAATATCAGAACAACAAACACTGTCATCTGGCGCCTCAATATACCACTAAATAAATCTGATGACTCTACAGCTGCCATTACCATGAAGAAGGCTGACCTGCCGGAGATGGCAGCAAGGATGGCAGCCCCTGTAACTTACATCTCATGATGTAAGTTACAGGGGCCAGACCGCTCTCACCCTATGCCGCCTTCCTTAACAGTTCCCACTTATATTCCTGTAACATTATACAGGAGACAGAAGTACAATGTTAGCAGGACCCCAGGACCAGACTGTATGTACCTGTATCCTTAAAATATCTGCACTTGCAGCCCCTCCTGCAGGTCTCTTGCCAGCCTGCATTGATCAACAAACCTGGCCACACCGGCAAGGCCACGGTTGCAGCTGTCAACATAAAGAAACGCAAGACATTAGTAGATAACTATATGAGAATGTCCTTGCTCTCAGTCACTGCAAAGTTATTACAAAAAAAATAATTGTTTAGGGACCACAAAAGCACTTTGACAAACGCACTAAGTAGCCAACTATTTGGTTTCAGACAAAAAAGAAACATATGAGATCTCCTGCAACAGTTGAGAGCAAAACAAGTGTGTGGACACACAGGTCGCAGTCGTGGGTGTTGCTCGAGCTTGTAGCGGTGATAACACAATATCTGGATATTTCTAAATTAATGCAATGTCCTTATGAACGATTGACACCTCAAAATGAAAAGAAAATATCACCAAAGTATTCCATTTTGTTCACGTACCTACCTACCTCCCTACCTAACCCACCTACCCACCAACCACCAACCTTCCTATCTCTGTCTCTCTGTCTCTCGCTCTCTCAGAAGAACAGGTGCCGGTCGTATAGAGAAGAGTGAAGGACTGTTTTATGAACACCATCGTCCTATATATTACATGTAATGGGGTGGGTCCCTACTCAATGACTTTATCAATGGCCAGCTCACCGATACTACGTTCCAAGCCTTGTTCATTATAAACTTTGAAAAGTTAATGAACAGTTCAAGTGGCAGTGTGTAAATTTAATAATTGCTTTGATGTGACGTTCCTTATTTAATTATATATATATATATATATATATATATATATATATATATATATATATATATATATATATATATATATATATATATATATATGCAGAGCGAAGGGGGAGGGGGGTGCCACCTCTGGTGCAACTGCAGGGACCCATAGCCTCAGAGAAGAGAATAAAGGGTATTCTGAGAAGACGTTGAAGATTCTCCCTAAACACTTGAGTATTTTCTTCTACCATCCCTACTTTTTATTCTTTTAAACAATATGATTTGTTTTATTTATTTGATTGCAATGAGTTACAGCATATATATATATATATATATATATATATATATATATATATATATATATATATATATATATATATATATATATATATATATGTATGTGTGTGTGTGTGTGTGTGTGTTTGTGTGTACAGCCCAGTAGCCTTAAAAATCAATAATCTGAATTGATTCCAAAATGTTGAGGGTGTAGTTAGATGAAGAGCTCAGGACGTGGAAGTCACAGAAAGTGAAAGGTTGATCGTTAAAGAGACTGTGACCTCAGATAGCGGGAGATATGACTTTAGTGATGCCCTGTACAGTACGGGATACATTCCCCTTTGTCAGTAGATGCCATGCTTTAAATTCCCGGGAAGTATTGCCCATCCTCATAAATACTGGGCACACGCTCGTTACTCCTGAAGCCCATCCTCATTAACAATGGCCAAACACTCATTAATCCAAGTTTATGAGTGAAAACCTCTTCACTCATGACTCGCAACTGATTACCTCTTAGTTTTCTCGTCCAGTGCTTCACTCACTATGGTCGATCGAATTCCTCCTCTCTAAATGTCTCACTTTTACAGTTTAGTGGTGTGCCGGGGATTGGCCATGTCTTACAGGGTATTAATACTCTGTAAGACATGAACAATTGTCTAATGTTTTGTTCATTAATTTGTCAGAAAGTTCTAACCAAATTGCTTAGGAGAGGGCTTCTTCAATAACGAATTATAAAACATTATCAATAGGAACATTATTAAATCTGCTTTAATACAGATTACAAACTCATGTAATTTGAACATAAGGATCTGTTTGTATAATTTAGATCCATTTTTGATTAATCAGTTAAAGGGCGATTTGAATAGATCCTATTCAAACTAATTCATTGATCCTATTCAGCCGAATGGTCGGCTTTCATAGCTAGAACGTTTGAGTATGTAGCATTGAGTATTGAGCATACACCAAACTGTGTATAACGGGTTGGTAAGACCTCACCTGGAATACTGGAATACGTTGTTCTGTTTTGAACTCCTAATTACACGAGATATGGAGACAAACTTGAGAGAAACGCCAGTGAAGGGTGCCTCAATGCAACCATTATCTAATATGAATATACAAAGATAAAAATGTCGATTTCAAAATTATAACTAATTATCATCACCGTCAAAATGACAAAAGGAAGCTGGTTTCCATGCTCGAACCACAACCCACGAAGAAGCTTCTCTTCGTACCTAACCATTTGATCCATATGACCCCCGCTCCAGCAACATAAGCCCTTTGACCTTTAAGTGGGATAAAGTAAGTGGTATTATCACCTGAGGCATGTATACATCTCCCATTGGACGTGTTGGTCATCGAGGTCGGGCTAATTGGCAGCTGCGTTTGGTAGAAGGTCAGGTCATTATCTTGTGAGAGACGATTAGGAGCAGTGGCACTGTCAGAGGCAGGGGCTGCAACAGTGACAGAAGCAGTGGCTGACGGAGCACCCAAAACATACGCTGCCCGTCCTCCTAAGATTTTCCAACGTCCCAAGAAATTGTCCAACTAAAGTGCCCTTATCCTAACCTGCCAGAGGACCCAAATCAGAAAACGGAACAGTATGCCAATTTCGCGAGCAGCTACCATTTTCTAGTATGATATTTTTGGCCTTGGGTAGAGTATACGTCAAAATGCGACGTTCTATTAGGAAGACGGGTTGCACATATATGAC